AACCGTTACTTAGGGCCACAGAAACGTTACTTAGGGACACAGAATTGTTACTCAGGGACAGACACAGAATTGTTACTCAGGGACACAGAATTGTTACTAAGGGACACAGAATTGTTACTCAGGGACACAGAATTGTTACTCAGGGACACAGAATTGTTACTCAGGGACACAGAATTGTTACTGAGGGACACAGAATTGTTACTCAGGGACACAGAATTGTTACTCAGGGACAGACACAGAATTGTTACTGAGGGACACAGAATTGTTACTGAGGGACACAGATTTGTTACTGAGGGACACAGAACCGTTACTTAGGGCCACAGAAACGTTACTTAGGGACACAGAATTGTTACTCAGGGACAGACACAGAATTGTTACTCAGGGACACAGAATTGTTACTGAGGGACACAGAATTGTTACTCAGGGACACAGAACGGACACAGAATTGTTACTCAGGGACACAGAATTGTTACTCAGGGACACAGATTGTTACTCAGGGACAGACACAGAATTGTTACTGAGGGACACAGAATTGTTACTGAGGCACACAGAATTGTTACTGAGGGCCACAGAACTGTTACTTAGGGCCACAGAAACGTTACTCAGGGACACAGAATTGTTACTCAGGGACAGACACAGAATTGTTACTCAGGGACACAGAATCGTTTAATTAAAGAGTATGTCAGACAACATGCAGAGGAGTGGCAGAGGAGGCAATGTTTTAGGAGCGAGCAGACGTGGCAGCAGAGGAAGGGGTCGAGGCAGCACTATTCGCAGCCAGAGGCCAGTGCTCCCGGTGTCATCCAGCGGTCGTGTCTCCACCGACAACCCTGCCGTCATCGATTGGTTGGCTCGGTCGTCTTCCTCTTCCCAGGTCACCTCTGACACCTACAGCCAACGGTCGGTGGGTACGTCAGACACAACCGTTAGTTGGCATGGCCCGGGACCAAGCCCACTGAAATCACGTGTCCTCTACCTGCCCCTGTCCTTTGGTGTTCCCTCACCAAGCGAAGTATCGCATGCTGTGGGCTCAGCCCCACTGTACAGTGAGGAAGAGCAAACAGAGGGCGGTCAGGAACGGGGGGAGACATCCGCCTCTTCAGCAGCAGGCGAAGAAGTAGTGGCGAGGAGAGTGGCTCGGTAGCCGGTCTAGAGACAGGTCTGTCTCCTGACCCACACGCAGCCGAGGGGGCTAGTAGTGAGGCGGAGACCCTAATTGATGATGATGAGGCTGATCGCACTTGGCAGCCTCGTCGTCATCAGGCTATTGCTTCCGCATCATCAGGAGAAGAGGGTGGCAGCTTGGCAGCGAGCAAAACAGTCGGTGGGTTGCCCAGGAGACAGCAGCAGGGTCGCAGCAGTGTCAGTGGAGGCAAACGGCCACGGAGTACAGCACCAGCTCCACTGCAGCCTAGCACCACGGCCAGTAGTGGTGCCGGTGTGCACGGAGGAAGCAGCAGTCAGCCAGTGAGGAGTATCGGGGGCAAAGTTTCCTACTCGGCGGTGTGGCATTTTTTGTCAAGCCGCCCGAGGAAGTAAACGTAGCCGTATGTCGACTATGTGGCCAGAAAGTCAAGCGTGGCCAGGGGGCCCATGTTGGGACTACAGCGTTGCGGCAGCATATGCAGCGTCGCCATTTGGTGGCCTGGGAAAACCGTGATAAAGATACGGCGGTTCTGCCCGCCCCAGCCCCCGCTCCATCACCCGCTCCGTTACTTGCTCCGTCACCCGACGTCAATCGCCCTCTATCAGCCAGTCAAGGCTCCAACACCTCTGCTGAGGGGAGTTGTCGCTCGTTGCCATCTTCCGCTCGTTCAGATGCTCCTTCTCCTGCTACTCCTCTTCACGGATTCCGTCAGCAGTCTTTCTTGAAATCCGTTTCCAAGAGACAACAGTTTGCGAGCACGCACCCGACGGTGCAAAAGCTGAACGTCCTCCTGTCCAAGTTGCTGGTGCTGCAGTCCCTCCCTTTCCAAGTGGTGGACTCAGCACCTTTCCGAGAAATGATGGCTTGTGCCGCGCCGCGGTGGAGAGTGCCAAGCCGTCATTTCTTCGCCAAAAAGGCCGTGCCAGCCCTGCATTCACATGTAGAAGAGATGGTGGACCAGTCTTTGAGCATGTCGGTCTCTGCCAAAGTGCACGGCAGCGCCGACGTGTGGAGCTGTAACTACGGTCAGGGACAGTACATGTCATTTTACGGCCCACTGGGTGAACGTGGTGCCGTCACAGCCGCACCAGCAACTTGGACAGGTCACGCCGCTTTTGCCTCCACGTTTGCACGTCCTTGGTCCACAAAAGATGTCCGCCTCTACCACCTCTTCTTCCTTCATGTCCTCAGCCGCCACCCCCGTGCCAAGTCCCATTACCCGACCGGCATATCACATGTGCAGGGCGCAACGGTGTCACGCTGTGCTGCACCTGGTATGCCTTGGCGAACGTAGTCACACAGGGGAGGAACTTCTCAGTGTAATGAACAGAGAAATTGACAGATGGCTGTCTCCGCGCAAACTCAAAATCGGAACCATGTTGACCGACAACGGAAAGAACATGGTGTCTGCTCTGCGTCAAGGAAGGTTGTGCCATGCGCCATGCATGGCTCACGTGTTCAATCTGGTTGTCAAGCGGTTCCTAAAATCCATCATCCCACTGCAAGACATCCTTAAAATGTCACGTAAACTTTGCATGCATTTCAGCCATTCCTACACCGCAAAGCACACCCTCCTTGAGCTGCAGCGGCAGAACGGAATTCCACAGCATCGCTGATCTGCGACGTTGCAACAAGGTGGAATTCAACCCTACACATGTTAGACCGCCTTTACGAACAGCGAAAGGCCATCACCGATTTCCTGATGTTACAAGCGGATAAAGGTACTCCCCTGTGTAACTTCGATGTCAGCCATTGGCAGCTCATGCGTGACACCTGCCGCTTGCTCAGGCCCTTTGAGGAGGCCACGCTATTCGTGAGTCGGCAGGACTATGGGATGAACGACGTCATTCCTCTGTTGCACGTCCTGGAACAAATGCTGTTAACAATGGCTGGTCAGGGTGCGGTAGACGTGGCGCACAGATCTCAACGCCACAGACCCCTGTGGGGGCAGGACAGGAAGAAGAGGAGGAGGTAGAGGAGGACATTTGTGCTCAGGAATTATTGAGTGAAATGGGTGGTTTTTCCACTCAGCGGACAGGAGTGGAGGAGCAGGAGCATCTGGTAGAGGAGGAGGAGGAGGAGACAGAGGACCCAGACGCACCGTGGCAGTATGCTGTGGAGATGGAGGCAGGGAGTCCCTCGCATTCCTTGGCACAAATGGCCCATAGCATGCTCGGTTGCTTGCGTAGCGACAGCCGAATAATAACCATCAGACAGAGGGATGACTTTTGGCTGTCCACCTTGTTGGACCCTCGCTACCGTTCAAAAATGGTGGCCTTTTTACAAAATAACGTACTATAAAAACCACCTATGTAGTCAGTTGGTCTCTGCCTTTGTGCGCCAACGTCCATCCTCAGACACTGTGGGCCCTGTGCGCTCGCGTTCCGCTGCCATGGCAGCAGGGGAGGGGTGGGGTGGTAGGAGCAGTGGTAGCTCCACCAGCAGCGGCTGCCTCATCTGCAGTCGATGATGAGTAGCTTTCTTCACCAGCGCAGTGAGGAAACTACTAACCAGCCGCAGCAGCAGCAACATCAGGTGGACCTGGAGCAGGACCTCAAACAACAGGCTTGGGCCTACTTGGACAGCACCCTGCCAACCGAGGTAGACAATCCCCTTGACTACTGGGCAACGAAACTTGACCTTTGGCCCCAACTAGCTGAATTTGCCCTTGAAAGGCTGTCATGCCCGGCCAGTAGCGTGGCATCGGAGCGCGTGTTTAGTGCGGCAGGAGGTATTGCAACTCCGCGGAGGACACGACTGTCCACCCAAAGTGTGGAGAGACTCACGTTTGTGAAAATGAATCAGGCGTGGATTAGTCTGGATTTCAAACCACCAGTTCCTGACACAACTGACTAAATCCGCCATGAATCATGCCCCTGCCATGTGCCACTTTCAGGTCTCCTCACACTGCTGGTGTGTTCAATTTTTTGACATAGGGTGCTGGCAGATTACGGGCCTCCCATAGCTGCTGCCAGGCCCCTAATCTGCCATGGGCCCCTATACCGCCTCCTCATGCTGCTGCCAGGTCCAGAGTCTCTCATGGGTCCCTGTACGGCCTCCCATTGCTGCTGTCTCCATCGCCACACTCTGCCATGTGCCACTTTCAGGTCTCCTCACACTGCTGGTGTGTTCCATTTTTTGTCATAGGGTGCTGGCAGATTACGGGCCTCCTATAGCTGCTGCCAGGCCCCTAATCTGCCATGGGCCCCTATACCGCCTCCTCATGCTGCTGCCAAGTCCAGAGTCTGTCATGGGTCCCTGTACGGCCTCCCATTGCTGCTGTCTCCATCGCCACACTCTGCCATGTGCCACTTTCAGGTCTCTTCACACTGCTGGTGGTTTCCATTTTTGTCATAGGGTGTTGTATGGCCTTCCATTGCTGTTGCCTCCACCGCCACACTGTGGCTCCACACTCTGGTTTTGGCCCCGTGACTGCCCAAATGAGTGAAGTGTGCGGTGATTCTAAGATCGACGGCACTCATCTGCATGTCATACTGACTGACAGTATTATTTCTCTTCCCCAGCAGACTCCAAGGGCATTTAAATTAAAGGTACAGTGTTCTGCACTAATATAAAGGCTCTCTGAAGCCTAGAAACACCCTTTTATAAGTTAAATTCGCAGCGAATATATTCGACTCGAATCGAAATGTTTCCACGAATTCGCCTAATCAGTCGAATCGAATTTTTGAATACTTCGCTCATCTCTATATATGATCTAATCTGGAAACTCCAGCAGGAAAAACTCCTACTTGGTTCTCTTTGTTATGAGGGTGCTGTGGAGCTGTGTTTGCATAATTAACCCTGTCTGTACTGTGCAGGAAGATATCTTATCATTTATACTAGATTTGAACACTGTCACTCCCAGGGGTGGACTGACAACTCATGGCGCCCCCGGGCAATAGGGGGTCATGGGGCCCCTGTGTCCTTGCCCAAACTCAAAAAAGCCTATGAAAAAGGTACCGGGGGCATCTCATGGGGCCCCCTACTGACCCCCGGGCCCTCGGGCAGTGCCCGAGTGTTCGAATGGTCAGTCCGCCCCTGGTCACTCCTAACAAAGGGTTAAAGGTTCAAATCAACTTCTGTAGTGCAAAAACTCAAATTTTACAATAGTCTACTAACATACTATTTGTATTCATAAGTGCAGTTCTAAAACCAGGGGAATATTTTCTTGTGACAGTTAAATCACCGACATGCTGCGCTAGGAAAAAGATTACAAGAATATACGACTCGGCGCAGAGTGACTCATCAGCTCGGTGAAGACGGACGCACACTTGTCAATTTTATCATCAGTACAAATACTTATAATTCTTCCCAACTGCACACTTACATCCTGAAAAGCTTTCTCTTTATTATTTTCAGTTCCCTGCATATTTTACATAAATAATTTAGTTGTTTTATATCACTCTTTTCCAATAATATAAATTATAATTTTACAAACTGTATTGCAAGTTATTTCAAATATTGTTGAATCATCAACCACATACACAGTTCGTGCTAAGCAAAGATGGACTGTAGTTTGGAGTTTTCTAAGCAAATATACTATATTGCCAAAAGTATTGGGCCAGCCCTCCAAATCATTGGATTCAGATGTTCCAATCACCTCCATGACCACAGGTATATAAAATCAAGCACCTAGGCATGCAGACTGCTTCTAAAAACGTTTATGAAAGAATGGGTCGCTCTCAGGAGCTCAGTGAATTCAAGCGTGGTACCGTGATAGGTTGCCACCTGTGCAATAAGTCCATCCGTGAAATTTCCTTGCTACTAAATATTCCACGGTCAACTGTTAGTGGTATTATAACAAAGTGAAGCAACTGGGAACAACAGCAACTCAGCCACGAAGTGGTAGGCCATATAAAATGACAGAGCTGGGTCAGCGCATGCTGAAGCGCACAGTGCGCAGAAGTTGTCAACAGTCTGCAGAGTCAATAGCTAATGACCTCCATACTTCATGTGGCCTTCAGAATAGCACAACAGCAGTGCATTGAGAGCTTCATGGAATGGGTTTCCATGGCCGAGCAGCTGCATTCAAGCCTTACATCACCAAGTGCAATGCAAAGCGTTGGATGCAGTGGTGTAAAGCATACCGACACTGGACTCTAGAGAAGTGGAGACGTGTTCTCTGGAGTGAATCATGCTTCTCTGTCTGTCAATCTGATGGATGTGTCTGGGCTTGGCAGTTGCCAGGAGAACAGTAATTCCTTGACTGCATTGTGCCAAGTGTAAAGTTTGGTGGAGGGGGGATTATAGTGTGGGGTTGTTTTGCAGGGGTTGGTCTTGGCCCCTTAGTTCCAGTGAAGGGAACTCTTAAGGAGTCAGCATACCAAGACATTTTGGACAATTTCATACTCCCAACTTTGTGGGAACAGTTTGGGGATGGCCCCTTTCTGTTCCAACATGACTGCGCACCAGTGCACAAAGCAAGGTCCATAAAGACATGAGTGAGCGAGTTTGGAGTGGAGGAACTTTACTGGCCTGCATAGAGTCCTGACCTCAACCCATTAGAACACCTTTGGGATGAATTAGAATGGAGATTGTGAGCCGGGCCTTCTCATCCGACATCAGTTCCTCACAAATGCACTTCTGGGTTAAACATTCCCATAGACACACTCCTAAACCTTGTGGACAACCTTCCCAGAAGAGTTGAAGCTATTATAGTTGCAAAGGGTGGGCCAACTCAATATTGAACCCTACAGACTAAGACTGGGATGCCATTAAAGTTCATGTGTGTGTAAAGGCAGGCGTCCCATTACTTTTGGCAATATAGTGCATTTTGTCATCTTTGCATTGCATTCATGTAAATATCAAAGTATGATCTCATTCAAATAGGCACTGACATCTGTAATCCAGGTGCTGTGTGTAGGCAGCCCATCCATGTCTATCTGGACTCAGCGGCTGCATGGACATAGCCATTCGACTCAATTTGACAGTCATGTGGGTACAGGTGAGCTCGTCAAAATGCACACTTTCTGCAACCAAGGGGCACTCACGCACATCTGCATGGCTGTCAGACTGAGTCAAGTGGCTGTGTCCATGCAGCTGCTGCTTCCCCATAGATATGAATAAGCTGCCTACACACAGCACTTGGATTACAGGTCATACTTTACACCAATGCAATCCATAGATATCAAAATATTTCATTAGAAAATTCCAAACTACAGTTCATCTGTGCAGCTGCTGCGCCCCTAAAGACATATTGTATATGGGCAGCCTGCACACAGCACCTGACAACTCAAGCTGCAAAAACACACAGCCCATTCATGGACTATAGGTGTATGAGCTATTGAGTCTGACTTTGTACATACACTAGTCAGCCATAACGTTATGACTACCCACCCAATATTGAGTAGTTCCCCCTTTTGCTGTCAAAACAGTCCTAACCCATTGCAGCATGGACTCCACTAGACCTTTGAAGGTATGCTGTGGTATACCAAGGCATCAGTAGCAGAACCTTTAAGATCTGTAAGTTGCGAGGTAGGTCATCCATGGATCAGCCTTTTGTCCACAGATATTCTATTAAATTGAGATCTGGAGAATTTGGGAGCCAAGTCAACACCTCAAACTGGTTCAATTCTTGAATTTATCAGACCAGGCCACCTTCTTCCATTGCTCTGTGGTCCAGTTCTAAAGCTCACATTCCCATTGTAGGTGCTTTTGGTTGTAGACACAATTTAGTATGGTCACCCCAACTGGTCTGCAGCTATGCAGCCCCATATACAACAAAAACTGTGTTGCCAATTTTGTATTCTTTCAGCACATCAGCTTCATGGACAACCTATATCCCTCCAACTTTCAGATGCCATTGTAACGAGATAATCAACGTTTTTTACTTTACCTGTCAGCGCCAATAAAGTTATGGCTGATAAATGTATCCAATTATTTTTTCAAGTTTTGGATAAAGTGAAAGCTGAACTCTGGTGTTAGCACATTTTTCTAAATCCAAGAGCTATGTGTACTTTTACTTGAATCTTGGTGTCCTTTGTGTAATTCTTCTAGATCTGTATAGTAATCCATTGTGAAACTTTACTTCTATGCAGGAGCTTCCTCTAATGTAGACCGGTCCCTGTTGCTCTCGCCTTGTGCGGGGTGATTGGTCTTGTACCAGCCCTCTCCTGTAGTTTTCTGCAGGCAGCCTGTAGTGGGTGGAGCCTGCTGGCCCCTCCCACAGCTCTATTCTCTGCACAGGCTATGTAGATCTATAGTAAAGATGTCGCCGCTACTTTCACAAGGAAATATCTGTGTTTGCAAAGGCATTTGGTACACCCAAAGTGGATTGATATCCTTTATGGCTATTAAAAATTATATTTGAATTAAAGTTTTTGTACCAGAGATCAGCTTGAAGATGGGTTAGACTGTACATCAGATTTTTATTTCTGTCTTTTGGGAAAATTGCAAAAGTCAACTTCATGTTTTCACTCTCTAGAGTGAATTCTTCATATATTACCTTGGAGAAAACGCTAAGTAAACAGCAACTATATTACCAGTTACTAGTGGAACATGCATGTCCAGGAAAGGAAACATAAATTTCAGCTCACAGCATTTGTCTGGGTGTCACCAGGACAGGGAGTTAGGGGATGGCAATAAAAGCTGGCAGAGGCTATAATCCAGCCTTTCTTGTCCCAGTGGAACCCTTGAAAAAATGTTCAGCTCTCAGGGAACCCCTGCTAAAACCAACTTATTGGATATTACTGAAAAAATACCCCTTACATTGGTGGCCAGTGGAAAAATTGACCTGCTTACAGTAGAGGTCAGAATGCAACTCTTTCAGACAGCTAAAAGGATCATTGGGTTCCTGCAGGTGGCTCTGCCAAGTTACATAGTTAAATACTTACATAGTTAGTCTGGCTGAAAAAAGACAAAAGTCCATCCAGTTCAACCATAAAAAAAAAAAAAAAGTTATACCCAGCAAAGCATGATCGAATACATCTAAACTCCTTGAGCGCTTAGTCTATACCCGCCTAAGCTCTCACCTCAACGACAACAACCTCCTCGATCCCCTACGGTCCGGCTTCCGTCCCCTACACTCCACCGAAACTTCCTTACTCAAACTCTCCAACGACCTGCTAACCGCCAAAGCTAATGGCCACTATTCAGTGCTCCTACTCCTTGACCTCTCTGCGGCCTTCGACACAGTCGACCCACCCCCTCCTCCTCAAAAAACTACACTCCCTCGGCCTCAGAGATTCTGCTCTCTCCTGGCTTTCATCCTACCTGTCACAACGCTCTTTCAGCGTTACCTATAATGCTACCACCTCCCCCTCACTCCCCCTCTCTGTTGGGGTCCCTCAAGGCTCTGTCCTCGGGCCCCTTCTCTTCTCAATCTACACCTCCTCCCTTGGCCAACTCATACACTCTCACGGCTTCAACTACTACCTCTATGCCGACGACGCAAATCTATCTCTCAACCCCCCACCTCACCCCCTCGGTCTCTGCCCGAATCACACACCTACTGAGCGACATATCAGACTGGATGTCGCTCCACTTCCTTAAACCGAACCTCTCCAAAACCGAGTTTCTTGTTTTCTCCTGCAGAGGCAATCAGATATTCCCTGGATCAACGTTACCTATAAATGTTAATAACCAGTTATATTGTGTGTATCTAAGAAAGAATCCAGGCCTTTTTTAAAGCAATCCACTGAGCTGGCCAGAACCATCTCTTGAGCGAGTCTATTCCACATTTTCACAGCTCTTACTGTGAAGAAACATTTCCGTATTTGGAGATTAAATGGAGCTGGCCCTGGAACTAAGGAGGCATCATCAAATGGGAGACCAAGCAGTCACAGCTCAAGGAACCCCTAAAAACCTCTTGAGAATTATTATTATTATCATTATAATACAGGATTTATATTGCGCCAACAGTTTGCGCAGCGCTTTACAAAATGAAGGCAGACATTACAGTTACAATACAATTTGGTAGAAGAGGAAACAGATGGCCCTGCTCATTAGAGCTTACAATCTAGGAGGAAACAAGAGGAAACAGAGGGATGGCTGCTCTAATCCTTCCCTCCT